ATATCCTAATTTTTTATTAGGATGTAGAATAGAATTCTCTATTATTTATTTATATTAACAAATAGTATACATCTGCTGATGCAGAAGTCAAAGATATGAAATAATCAAATTCATAACATGGGGCTGATGACATCTTTTTATTATCTGTTAAGACTTGAGGAAAACAAGCACCTTGGAGATCGTTCTAATCAGTTTCTATTACTACCTTTCTATATATTTGTCCTTATCTTAGCTTCTTTTGCTCTTTTTCTAAACTCCATCTTAAACAAATCTAAGAATGCAAGATGTAATTTTGCTACGACTACGTTTGCCTTGTACACCCCTTCTCAAACAGATGCCTTTCCTATACATGGTGAGAGAATCTCAGAAAATTAGGAGTTCAAAAGCAGATGCATTCATAGAAAAGAGTAGCTCCAGGGGCTGAGGTGAACGGAGGAATGGGGAGGACTCAATGGGTAGAGTTTGTGTTTGTGATGATGAACAGGTTCTTCAAAAGCATGGTGGTGACGGTTGTCCAACATTGTGAATGTATTTAATGCCACTGAATTGTGCACTTACAAATGGTTAAAATGGTAAACATACATATGCATGTATGTCACCCTAGTTTAAAAAAAAGAAGAGGTGGGAAAGGCAGATGCAGCACACCATCTCTTTCAGACATGAATAATTTATTCAGAAAATTCAAATTTCAGTTTGGCAAAGTATATCCAGGAGCAGAGAGTTTGGGACAGTCATTTCATTGGAAGCAATCACATTTTCTAGAGCTAAATGTCCATGGGGTAGTATCTAAAGAAACTTTTAAAAATAATTTAGTGTGCATGAGGTGATAATCATAAATATTGGCAGAGTCAACAAAACAATCAGTTTACCCAAAGCATGAAAAATGCTTATTCTAGTAGTACTCCTTTACTCAATTTAGTTCAACACACATTAAGCACCTAATTTATTCAAGACACTGGGCTAGCTGTTGGGGTTGATGTGGAAATACAAAAATCACCAAGACACAATCCCTGTCCTTAAGAAATTTACAACAGCACATATAAAAATGAGTGCTATAGGTGAGGTACAAAATAACTGCTCTAAAAACACGGAGGAGAGTTAACTTCTCAGTAGAGATTAAAGTCAGGACCCCCTTAATTTGGTGCTGTGGGTGAGGCAGGATACAGCATGCCAAGAGAAGTCTGGTGCCCAAGCATGGCTTGGCACCAGGAAATGGACTAGCTCCTCTATAGCTTTAAATGTGTGACTAGGGCAGGAGTATTCAAAGGTATTTATTTTTAATTCCTCTCATCAATGTTAGCCCATTATAAGAAAAAAGATCGACAGGAAGTGAGTTTTATTAAAAAAACAAAGTTTGAAGAGGCAGGGACATGAGCAGGAAACACCATTATGTGTAAACTCAACCCCATGCGTATATATACATCCAGTAGCTTAAGTAACATCATTAAATGGGGGGAAAATCCATTGGGAGCACCACATTTCATCATGGCAGAACAAGCTCTCTCTTGTTAGACTATAAGACTAGCTTTGGCTCCTGCCAGTGGAGGATGTAATGCTACACGGAAATTAGAAGTCCGTATTTTTAAACATGAGTTAAAGTCCTTAAACATTACCTCTTCAACTCAGCATAAATGATGAAGACAGTTTAGAAGAGATAATTTGTGGAGAGAGATTAAGTCTTTCTAGGCTAACTGATCTAATGATGACTTGGCATGCTGTATTTCCTATTTTAAAAAAAATACAAGATGATCAAGTCTTTCCTGAATAATATGTGTAGAACATACCTCAAAAGGAATTTTAACAGAACATACTACTAATCAAACATCACAGTTTCTGCTTTTGTAATTTATACAAATAACCTTAATTATAATACTTTAGGGAACACTTACAAACACAATATGTAATGTTGCTTGAATATTATTCATCAGCTTTAACTTCTACAAGTTTGGCTTATATTATTTTACCTTAAAAAAAAAACCTACTTCTTTTATAAATCTCATTTTCCCACAGAATTAATTCACTATCCAATTTTAAAATAACTTTTAAAAACAGAAACCAATAGTAAATTGGAATGCTAATACCTGCCAGGCTTTGATTAAAAAAACATATATATCTTACATAAACAGCACCTCATAAAACCAAAAACTTCTTTTGAAATACAAAGTTCAATTCTTCTTGCCCTCTTAGTAACTGCTAATCAGAAGCCCCATCCCCACCCCCCCTTCAATCCAGGAACTGTTCTCGTTTGTTAAGTCACATAACACGTAGTATTTTTTAGCATTAATAAATTATTGATATGGTATCATGAATAGCTATTTTTTTTAAAAACAAAGCAACTCAGAGGACTAGTAGAACAAATACAATAGCACACTAAAATGATTTAAAAGAAAAAAGAAATTTTAAATATACCTTATCCTGTTCTTGTAGTAATTCAAATTAAAAACCAAAGGATGAAGTATCATTTCAGATCTATATACATCAAGATGCCACTTCTTATAAAAATGTACTTTAGTTGTAAATGCTAGGTTATGCAAAAATAAGTTTATATCAATTGTATTTAACTTTAATGAATTTCCCCCAACTCTAATATTAAAAATGTTACAAGAACTTAAATTTTAATGGCAAAAAGTTATTTTCCCCATCTATTAAAAAAAGATTTTATTTTCCCTTATTAACATACAATGCCCTATTGTTAAGGCACAACTTTTTTTAGAATAAAAATGAAACCATAGACTAGGTTTATTTTATACAACAGTTACAAGACAGACTTTTTATAGGCATATACTCAAATAATATAGCTCAGATTCAACTAAGATCAAAAATGAAAAACCAGTTTCTGTCCAGGACCAGTCAACACAGAGCCAAGATAAATAGCTGAAGCTAGAATAACCCAAGTAGATTCTATTTTTAACCTGCCAAAGATGGCCTCCATAAGGCCATTTTTAAGGTGTTATCAAAGGAGAGGCAAGCTGGATATTTTCTTGAGGAACAGGGGGTGGTGCCACCCCAGCTTTCTTTACTTTTGCTTTGCTATCAGAGATAGTTGTCTCCTTCAAAGCCCAAGTGAGATCCAATTTTTGAACATCTGAGACAAGGGCAGAGTTCCTGATCCCAGGGCTCAGGGCAGAGGTTTGCTCTGCATTCTCCCTCTGCTACCCTTCCCGGGAGCTTTCTTCCTTCCCACCTTCTTCTCAGCCACTTACCCTACTTCCTCCGACCCAATTTGCCCAATATTCAAGGGGAGCACCCAGCGAACAGAATTTGCACAATTGCAAATTACTTAAAACACATGAACTAAAACTCTATTAGCTTCATCATATAGCCGTAAACAATTCATCTGAATGCTGATTTAAAATCCAGAAAAATAATAAAATCTAGAAAAAAAAATTAGAGGAAAGAGGACAATTGAATACCAGATATGACCCATCTTGTAGGCCCTTTGTAATCTCAACTGAAATAGGGACACAAGTATGAAAGCTAACAGAAAAAGAAGGGTTTTCATTAGCAGGCTTATATACCTAATTCTTGTATCTTCTGCATTTTCATTCTGTGAAGAAAGAATCTGAAGAAATGCTTTGTAAAGACAGAAGCACTGGATTAGACTCGATTGTGTAAATCTTTGTGGTTTTGAAGGTGATTTTCCTTTACCTTTTGAGAACATCTTTGAGAAGTGACGGTCAACCAGAATTCTTGCCCAGGTTCATCTCCCTAAGAACTTAACTCAGTTCTACCATAATATTTCAGCAGTCAATCTTGAAAGAAGTAAGTCTAGGAGAGAATTCAGGGGTTAAGTTTTGGGGGAGAGTACTGGTCCAGAAAGACGGGCAGATACAGAAGAACATCAACAGGCTGCGGAGCCAGGGAATGAGGTAGAGACGAAAGGCAGAGCAAAGGGACAGCTAATATATACTGAAGTTACAGATGCCACTACTTTTACTAAATGTGATGTGAAAAACTCAAGGTTAAGGGAACATTGTGCTCTAAATGAGGGCAAAGATAAAGGAAAGGGAAGACCAGGAGTTGGGGAGGTGAGGCTCGCTAAAAGTTCAACTCTAGTTATTTTGCTACATTTTAGAAGTAATTGTATTTATGTAATTCTGGGAGATAGTACATGCCTCACTTATTCATGGTGTTTTACTGGTATGTTCTGGCATGATAATGTCTCACATTAATAAATATAAATACTGTTCTTTGTACTTATATTAGTTCTGTAATGTACATTATCTCTTAGAAACAAAAAAAATTAAAAATGAATTTTCTACAAAACCACATAAAAACCATTAGTAACTAGACTATACCCAACAAATTATAAAAATAATGCATTAATCTGTCAGCCAATATCTTAATTTTTGTACACAACATAAGCCCTTCGCAAAGTCATTATCTACATGCAGATTAATGGAATTAAAAATAAAACGAAAGCGATCATGCTTAATAATATGATCTTGTTTCATTTCCATTAAAGTTTCCATGTAATATTTTTTTAAAAACTCCAATTAAATGCCACTTCTTAATATGCCAGTCTTCTTGCCCCATGTCTGACACACTACAATTAAAATAAATGCTTATACCATGGACTCTGAAAATAGTATATGCCTCCTCTGCCATCTCTCCTGAGGAAAAAAATATTGTTTCATTGCAAAGTAAAAAGATGAGGTCTCCAATATTCTATTCTGACTCCCCTAAGTCCTGTTTAAATATCAAGTGTTCCAACTACCTAAACTTTGTATGAATTTTCACTGAACCAAATCCGACCTATCGAGGCCCACTACACTTTCAGGTCTGTGACCAGTTGCTAGAGACTGGGTGGAAACATGTGCTTTGTACTAAATTCAGTTCCTAAGGAGGAATGAAAGGACTCTGGAGACTATATAAAACTCAGGCCTAAAGTCGTATGCACATTCCACCAGAAGAGGATGTCCATTCTTTGGTCAATTTTACCTCCAAGATAGGAAAAGAAATGGAAAGTTGTTTTAAAGAAAGGGAAGAAGAAAGCAATGAGCAAACCCCTTCCCCTCTAATCAGTATATTATAAAATACAAGGACATCAAAGTCACATGAAAGAACGGTACTGTTTACATGAAGTTTCCAGATAACATACTAACAGAAATCCAACATCCCAATGAAAGTTCACAAAACAAGGATCTAATTATAGTGACACAGTGAATACGCCACCTTTCTTCCAATCAGATTCTGCCTACTGAATTAAGAGAAAAATTAATCAAAAAGTAACATTAACCTTTGTTATTTTAATCTGAAAAGAAACATTAAAATAACTTAAAAATTACTGCTTTGAGATTAGATCAGATCCATTTATTAATGGTGAAAGCAACCATAAATCATTCTTGGTAAGGGCAGAACCTCTACATACAAACCTGGCAAAGTTTTTAAAAAGTACTAAAACTTTTGAAAATAATGAAAGCTAGCTCAATTTGTGTAATATTAAATGACTCAACTAACAGAATAATTTATATTCTTATAGTGCATAATTTATCCCTAAGGAGAAAATGTACCAAAATCCTAATGCTAACCCTGAAACCTTAATCCAAACCTTACATGTTAAAGACTAAATGTTGGTTAGGAGGGAAAGGATGGGACCATGCAATGTCCACAGAGCAAACAAAAATCAAGAGTAAGATGACAGGAATGTTGGACCCATGGGTACAAATACACTTTTCTGTACCAAAACAAAAAACAAAACAAAAATACACACATAGAAACTACAATTACAACGCAATCATCATATAGCTATATTCTCGACTAGCTGGTGAACTTATTATTAAAATTTCAAAGAAAAAAAAAACAATTTAAGTTTTTTTCTTTTTTAATCCATAAGAAATATTCAGTAACAACAGATAAATAGAGCATTTGTTGCATATTAATGAATGTGTGGCTTCTTGTGCTTTCCATCTGAATTAGGGGTAAAAACCCCCAATTACTTTATTTTCAATGAGCTACAACTGTAAAGTAGTATTAAATCTACATAAAATCAATCCTTTCTTCAGCCCAATTCTGTATGAATGTACTAACAAATAGTGAAGATTCATGATGTTGTGTGAAAATGGTGACTCATAACAATGCAGACTCAGCTATAGATTTTAATTCACAAATTGTGTGTGTGTGTGTGTGTGTGCGTGTGCGCATGTGTGTGCACGCGCCTTGTGTAGGACAACCATACGAAAATAGTCTCAAAAATAAAGACAATACTTGAGACACGAAGCAACCCACTTTCCCTGATCTTGCATCCTATTACAGGGACAGTAAGTCTCTGATGCTTCATAAATACTTAAAAAGTTCAGGATGGCCTTAACCATGCAGAGTCTCCACCGATGCGTTTGAAGCCCCCAGATGCTTCACGATGACTGTTCAACTGAGGAAGAGCTGTGATCTGTGATTGCCTTTGCTTATTTATGTCCTGTCTTCTCTAGATCTGGGAGTTTTCTGACCAGAGCTTGGTGGTTCATTCTGATGCTAGCAAGAAGCCCTCCTTCAATGCCGTCGGAACCAGTGTAACTGATTTCTTCACCACTCAGGGTAGTCATATGCCCCCCAAGGGCTTTTAAGATGGCATTGCCAGCACATATATCCCATTTTTTGATATATGTCACATGGATATATAGATCAGCTTTTTCTTGACTTTTATCAGGCACATCCAAGAGTGCTAAAACTTTATAACCTAAAAGGTAAACAAAGAATTTAGATTACGACTCAAAAGATTTAAAAAGTAGCTTACTTTTTAAGAGTAATTGTGAAGAATAACAGCACACAACAGGCAGGAGTTCTCTATACTATCTCTACAACTGTGAAATCTAAAATTATTTAAAAAATAGTTTTGTTCTTTTTTCAAGAAAGTTAACAGTGCAGACATTAAATCCAAATGAGCAAAAAATATATAAAGGACTTCACAAAGCTATTCTCAAGTGTAACCAAATACACATCTAATCTTTTAAATTTAAATCTACTTTGTGAATGTTTTTACATTCACTGTATATCATTTCCTATGGAATACTATACTGAAGCTAAATACCCACGGATTTCATCTGAATTTCTAGGAACAATGGATTTGAAAGAAGACAAAATAAAACAATCTTAAGCCTTTTTTGTAATGAAGCAGAATTTTTTTTTTTTTTGATGAGGCAGAATTTTTTAAAAATAATTAAACAAAGAGAAAAAAACAGATCTTGAATCTGGTTTATCCCATTCATACTGGGTATTCTGAACATTACCCTTCCTAACCAACATTAACAGAGGGCTTACAGGGAAATAATAAAGTCATACTAAGTAAGGTACATATATGTAATGACTAAATTAAAACTATTAGGCTTAAAAGTTAATAAGCATTGCTCTTCCCTTTATTATTGTAGTGAAAAGGTTTTCAAACACACATTTCCGACTATAATTTCTTATTTATTTGAATTAAAACACTTCTGTCATATTAAACAGCACTCAAAACAAGGGCAGGCAAATGGCCTGTGAGCTAAATCCAGGTCATGCACTATTTCAGTACAACCCTCAAGCTGTGAATGGTTTTCATATTTTTAAAGCGTGATGACAAAACAAAAATCCAAGAATAGTAGGCAAGAGAGTCTACACGTGGCTCATAAAGCCTGAAATATTTACTCTCCGGCCTTTAAGAAAAAGTAAGATGACCCCTGATCAGCAACAGGTAATAAAACAGAGCAGAACATACAGTAAGCAGAGTGGCTCCCAGACTCTGGCTCATCCCAGACATACAAGCTGAGGAGTTCACAGGTGTTACAAGTGCCCAGGGTTTAGTCATCCTAGTAATACTTATGAGGATCCCTGGCATCTTGGGGCCACAGGGAGCATGGGACTGTGCTTGATCTTCCCTTCTCTCCCTGATAGTCCTACAGTTATCCTAACAGCACAATTACTTTGAAATTACATCATATATAAAACCACTGTTGCTGATACATCACTGACATGAAGATGCTTTTGTAGTATTTAAGGAACAGCAGTCACTGTAGTGAGTCTATTGGCCCTACAGTGAGGTGGTTTCATTCTTTCCTTTGTTTTTTTTTTTTTAAAGATTTTATTTATTTATTTGACAGACAGAGATCACAAGTAGGCAGAGAGGCAGGCAGAGAGAGAGGCAGGGAAGCAGGCTCCCGGCTGAGCAGAGAGCCTGATGCAGGGCTCGATCTCAGGACCCCGGGATCACGACCTGAGCCGAAGGCAGAGGCTTTAACCCACTGAGCCACCCAGGTGCCCCCCCCCTTTTTTTTTTTTTAAAGATTTTATTTATCTATTTCACAGTGAGAGAGAGAGAGAGCGCGCACATGCACAAGCAGGGGGAGTAGCAGAAAGAGGGAGAGGGAGCAGCAGGCCCCCCCACCAAGCAGGGAAATCAACATGGACGCTCACCCTAATGAGCCACCCAGGCGCAGCTATGAGGTCCTTTCTAACAAGAAGGCACGTGTGACTGAAATCTTACCCTAGAGATAACCAAGTAGGAGACCATGCCTGTCTGCAAAGTACACTCTCCATTCTCACTTTTTTCCCAAGCACAGGAATATGAAATCTTTCTCTCGACATAAGCCTTAACCTTTCTGGGACACTGTCCCCAGGCACTACAGGGGAGTTGGAACGTACCAGCACCACCAGCTGGGATAATGGTAGTCTGGTTTCCAAAAGTCTGAAGAGCAACCTGTTTGACCATTCCTGAATGTGAGCGTGACACTACGATCCTTGGGGTCTTCTCATTGTAGGAAGTGCGGGCTTTCACATTGGACCCACCGTCTACCATTGCCCAAGCTGAAAAGGAAATATAATATTCATTAGTAGCACTGAAACCTTTTGAAACAGGAACTCAAAGTACCAAGAATTGACCAACAAAATATCCTTTTCCCCAGAATTACTTGTATGTTCTCCCCGAAAATAGAAATACTTTTTTTTCTGAGAGCAAGTAATATTTAACATTTTTATACATTAAGATAGGCAAATATTAAGACAAAGCTAAAAAGACCATGTAATCCTGCCCAACCAGAGATAATGACTACTAAAAACTTGGCTTAAGAACTCCCAGGTTCCACCTCCCAGTGAGGTGCTAAATAATACTGCATCAATTATCTCTCTGTACCTAATCTGGCTTCCTTCCCTACCTTACACAACTTTGATCCCAAGGTACTCTTTCCTGAATATCCTGCATGCTAATCTCCATCCCCAAAGTCCAGTTCCTGGGGAACTCAACTATGACAACCTAGGACATAAAGACAACTAGTTACGCTGAATAATTCAAAATTTAAAACAGGTTTTTTCCTCCTCCTATTTTCTCTCCCTTACTATTTCTCCTCCTACTGTTTTCTCCTCCTATCTACTTCTGATATATTTATGGTTTCAATGATAAACATAAAACAGAGAGGTGAGTTAGATTTACACATCTGTATTATCATGAGAATATAAAAAGAAAATGCTCTAGATTTCAAAATAAAACAGAAACTTCTAAGAAGGTGAGGAGACCCTAGAAATGGCCTGAAATATTTTTCTTCACTAACTACACCAAGCTATACAAGAAAATAAACTTACTCAGAATTATCCCAATTAGACTGTTGTTCTAGCAGTCACTCACTATGGGGTAAAACACAGTCCACCATGGCTAGCAATGAAAGCAGCTGCATTACCACTTACTCCCGGCTGCAGGAAAAAATAAGAAAAATGAACAGAGTGTCTGGGTTTCTGAGCTGCCCAAGGATGACGGCAGTCTTTTGGACTCCTCTCATACTTCTTTCTGAAAACCATACACTGCAACAAGAAGAGCAAATAACACCACCCTTAATCAATAGCTAAAGAATAAGAAGGAGGTGAAGAACAGTCATGAACACAAATTTATGAAAAAGAGGGAAGTAAATACCGAAGATCAGTAGAATGAGTGCCAGAGCTGAGCCCAGTGTGGGGAATACGGCAGGAGCTTCACAGAAGTGCCAAGAGGGTGGAGGCCTCTCAGTGGTGGTAGGACTCAGAGAACAGCCAGGATTTCTCCCCAGAAGAAAAAGGTCCCATCTAAAATGAGAACTACTGAAAGTAGGCCCGAGATATGGCAACAGAGCAGTTGTAAGAGGAGGCCTGGAGAAGACACAGAGCCAAAGTCAAGTTCTCACAACAGACCAGACGACATACAACATCTTTCAGAAAGTGTCCCATGAGACAAATGGAAGACAGCAAGCAGAAGAAAAGAACGGGTTGAAGATAAGGACTTTACTAAAACAAGACAAGATCCAGACAAGCGAAAACAAAAAAGGTGACTGATAATAAAGATAATGCCTTCCTCGCTCTAACAGAAAAGAAATTTCCTGAACTGACAACAACCCAAACTCCTTTTCTGCCACCTTCCCATCTACTGCCGGTGGCCGGCCCAAATGTAAGAAATATGTACAACTGCAATGTCCACTGAGAAGTCTAAGAAGAAAACACAATCAATGAAGGTTAAAACATTTCAGGCTACTTGAAAATTTCTCTAAAGCAGAGTAAAACTAACACAACATTCGAAGACAATTAAAAATAAATAAGCAACAACAACAAAAACACTATGGAACAAAAAATAACTCAGGAAAGATAGAAGATATGAAATGGGAACTCACATAATACAGGAAAGAAACTGCAAACAACAACAAAAAGACAAAATCATTTAAGACTTAGCACTAGATCACAGGATACACAGAAAGGCAACAGATTGATTGAAAAGCACAGCAAGCAATGAGAAAAGCAAAAAATAAGTGAAACAAGCAAACAGGTAAAGGGGACCAGAGAGAGGGTTAATAGACACAGAAGTCTGAGCTACTCACAAAGGAAAGGATATCAGATTATCAGCTTTTCTGCCAATAAGCTTCAACATACACCCACACAGATACTTTATCAGTCCAACAGTTTCTACCCAAGAAAAAAAGTGTATAGTGAGTGATCAGTGTCCTACTAAAATTCCAGTCGACGGGAACCTTCAGAATATGACCTCATTTGGATATAGGGTCTTTGCAGATATAATTCAAGTTGAGGTCATATTGGATTAGAGCGGGCCCGTATAAAAACAGATGACAGAGAAATATATACCAGGAGAATGTGAACTGGAGGTACGAACTGGAGTGGTATGTCTATAAATCAAGGCATGTCAATGAACACCTGGAGCTACCGGAAGCTGGAAGAGGCAAGGGAAGATTCTTTCCTTGAGCTTTCAGAGGGCACACAACACTGCCAACAACATGCTATCAGACTTCTGGCCCTCAGAACTGTGAAAAAATAAATTTCTGCTGTTTTAAGCCCTCTAGTTTATGGTAATTTATTAGAGTAAATTTATAAGGACACAGAGTCTAAACCAAAGAGTCTATAAGTAGCTGAGAGTCTTTCAAGAATGAAGGTTACAGAAAAAGCTTTTAACGTGAGAACTCACGTAATATGACCTGGATGAGCTAGCTCTCCTAAAGTAATCTACTAGAGGACAAGTTTTATCCAACCAAAAGATGACTGAAGATCTCTTAGCAAAAGCACTGTTGGTCAACACTGAATAAATTTAACTGTGGATTTAAGAGAAAACCAAAGATAGGAATACAGGTGGAAGAATAAAAGTGTGTCAATGTTATCTCACAGTTGACTTGTGAGAGTCAAAGGATACCATTTAAATCAGAAGAGCTGAACAGCAGAAACACACATATCAAAAAATATATGACTTACTAAAATGGGATGGTAGTCAAGGAGCCTAAAATAAGTTGATTTCATTGTTGCTCATAGGGGAGAACCAACAGAGGAGACACCTAAGGCAAAGGACCATATAATGGCATTTAAACAAAAAGGCATATATATAGTTAGTAAAAGTGGGCAAAGAAAAAAACAGATTTAACTTAAAAATCAGTATCTGTAGTTTGAATAGCAGTGAATATACAAAAATCCATGAGACTTTAAGGATATCAAAAAAATAAAGGCAAAGTCTGCTCTTCATCGAAAAAATAACATTTGTTCCCCCTGGAGGTAGTTTTTACCCTAAGTCCTTACTTTGAAATTGGTGAAGAAAAAAAGTTAAACATGTATTTTGTCTTCCTAACAGGAACTACCTTTAAGGATAAAAAAGTAACTCCAGCTGATGGAAGAAATATCTCAGTAGAATTCCAGCTCATGCATAGAAAATACAACAGAATTAGAAAATCCCATTTCACGTCTTTAATAGATCTTAAAATTATTCTGTGAAACGATAAATAGAATCCCGATTTCAAATGGTGCCAAAATATTTCTCCAGACTACTTGCTGGTAGCAAGGGAATCAAAATAATTTATAACAGAGATCTGGTCAAGACCACTTGAACCATCTTACAGCATCACTAATAATGAGACTAGATATTTATGTCATATAAAATGATGCAGTAGGAAATACATGAAGAAAATCTACAGTGTATTCTTGACAAAAATCAACCTTAATCCAATCAAGACTTCAGATCTAATTTGCATTTTATAAGAAAAAAATGATGAAAAGTAAATAAGTTAAATGACACTCTGAGGAAATAATCAGAAGAGTCCAAAAAGCAGGACATTATGTAACAACTAAGTTGACCTCAACATGTCAATGTCATGGGGAAGAACAGGACTGGAGGTTGTTCTAGATTAAGAGAACTTAACAAAACCACCAAAAAAAAAAAAAAAAAATGCATATTACTTGACTAGATCTTGGTTTGAAGTAACCAGTTATAAAATCCACTTTAGAAACAACTGGAGGAAATGTGAATATGGGATCAATTAGGGAATAAACGTTAATTATATTATTATATTCATAATAGTACAAAAAATAGTATTACATTAATAGTATATTAAGAGATGCATAGTGACATATATAGGCATAAAATGTCACAATCCTTGTAATTTTAAGTACATTAAAAAAAAGCAAATATAAAGAAATGTTCAACTGTTAAATCTTGATGAAAGAGCATATGAAAATTCTGTACAATTTTATGTTTGTTTGAAATTATCCACAAAGCAGTTAAAAAATGAGAAAGGAGAAAGCAAAACAAAAAAACCCCTCAATTCTCTTTAGAAATGATCAGTAAAAACATGGTTTTATTAAGAAATGAATTTACAGTGCTGCATCTCTAGAGGTCAGTATTGTGTAAGAGAATAAAGATAGCCTATCTTAGTACCAGAATAATCTCAGATAAGAATTAGTAATTTAATATTTTAAAAATGTATTTCATGTTACAGAATTTCAATAAATTCTGTCCTAACACATACATGGACAAATTATTTCAAGCACTTTAAAAAAATTCAGTAGGTGCTTAAATGATTGATGATGATGACAAGGTAATCATGAAAAGGTAAAATAGCAGCTAACAATGTGTTTACTCTATCTGAGGATATGCTTAAAAAAAAAAAAGTTGAGTGGGAAATAAAAAGTGACTGGTACTTTGCTACATATTTCAGACATTATAACTTGGCTGCAAATTTCCACTGCATGGATATACTATTACACTCATATATTTATATATTACTTTGTTAAAATACTATTTAAGTACCTGTTGCTTCTTAGGATTTTGAACTCAGTGAACTACTTCTAATTAAGTCTGGTAAGGATTTTGATCAGTTTTGCTCTACCTGCTGCCAACAACAATACTATCTAGCTCCCATTATAGTCAAGTGTAGCTAAATTCTGGTTAGCATATAATACTTGATAGTTGGTACTCTGCCAACATCAATATACAGTCTGGATCTGAAAATAACAGTCCAAAAAGAGAACACAAGCCAAACACACCTTCGATCCAGGAACAGAAGGTCACCCCACACCTAATTAAGGACTTACTGATTCTTCTAGAATGTTTGCTGACTAGCAAGTGCCTTTGTTCCAGCATACTGAACAACTTAGCAGCATCACAGAAGAACAGGGCATTTTCTTAAAACTTACAGAAACCATTTTGAAACACAAGCTGTTCCTAAGTAGAAACTTTGGGCTTTTTTATTTTAGAGGAGGTTAAGACTCTACGGGGAGGGGATACATAGTCTCATGGAACAAATTTTTTTTTAAATGGGCATTTTTTATGATCCTTATTCTCCCACCCCTAAAATGAACAGATGTGGAAATCAGGACCCAAAGAATGTGAATCTCCTCGCCTATCCAGTACCAACTTCCTCTTCATTTCCTTTACTATGATTCTAATTCTCTCTGGAGTAGCAGGCTGTTTGCAGCTAATGGGGCCATGTGACATTTGGCTAATGAGATGGAGCAGAGGGCTTAAAGTTACTCCTTCCTAATACAAAGAATATCTGGGATAGATCTTTTGTCCCTCTTCTTTCCCCTTTCTTCCAGCCTGGAAGAAAACCATGGAAACTAGAAACACCCATCTTTGTAAGCAAGCAAACAAAAAGCTACCTTCTAAGGGAAAAAGGCAAAAAGAAGATTCAGGTGCTTAACAGTATCATAAACTGAACCTTCCTGCCATTTGCCCATCTTCACTACATGAGAAAAATAAAACTTACTTATCTGTATACAGATAAATGCAACCCTAACTGATATAGATAGGCAATGAGGAACACTATCAAAAAATGAGTCAACTATACTTCAATTTAGAAAGGAAGGAGGAAGGAAGGAAGGAAGGGAGGAAAGAAAGAAAAGGAAAGGAAAAAAGAAAAAAAAAAGGACTTCAAAGACTTAAACTTTACATGCCTATTTTTCTTTCTTTAATTGAAAGTCACTATAATTCCTCTTTTATATACTTTCCAGAGTGATTTTGAGGCTGAAATGAATTTATGTCAATAGACTTCATAAACTGTGAAAATACTAAACAAATGTGTGATATTCATAAGGAGTGGTTAGCTCTTGCTGTAACATTAGGAACTATGTGGCTTTCATAAGAACTTTGCTAAGCCCCTTTTCCCATCTATAAAAAAACAAAAATAACAACATTTATCTTTGTCTCACAGAGTTATCACAAGGTTCAAATGAGATAATTTAGTTTATTGCAAATAGTTAACCACTATACAAATGTTAGGAATTGTTGAGTTATTATGAAAGTGGTGTGATATATTGAATTGCATAAAATTCCTAAGGTTGCTTCCTCCTCTAATTTAGCTGGATGACCTTGAGGAATGTATCAAACTTCTAAGTCTCATTTTCTCATCTGTAAGTGGTAGTATTAGTAAGTGTACCCTTCTCTCATGTGTTATACTAAGTGTAGCAATACTGCTAAATTAAGTTATGCTCTAATATCCACTTGATCTATTCTCCCTAAGTGACAGAAGCCTTAAACTGGAAGCTTGGATGGCCACTGAAAAATAAAGACCACATTTCATAACCTCCCCTACGGCTGGGTTCAAGCTACGTTTTGGTTGATGGGATATGAGCTGAAGTGATGCATGCAACTTACAGGACAAACCCTTAGCAGAAAATGTCCACGTCTCCCTTTGATCCTCTTCACTGGTGAAATGTGGATAAACCAGAGAGCCATCCTCAGTCAAGCAGAAGGGGGCACCAAAATTTAGCAAGGCAAGGCAACAAAAGAGAATAGCCTGCATGCCTGATCTGTTTGCATATGGACTGTTAGAGAAGAGAGAAATCAACTATTTTGTTCAAACTCTCTTATTCTGGTGCACTGTATTACAACAGCCTAAATTAGTAGCCTAACCTGTAGCCTCACTTATGCAGTAAGGATTAAAGGAAATATGTGAAAGCAACCCACAAACCATAAAACAATTACATAATTAATTGTAAGGCGCACTGATGCAATAATGACATAAATTCTTTACAGCTCATCTAATTGTTAACTGCAAAAACTATATGAATTATGAAAAGAAGATATAAGGTCAGATTAACACAAAAGAGATTTGGTCTATGTTCAGCCAATCTCAGAGGACCTGGAATCTGAGATACAAAGTATTCCGCAAAGCAAGTAAGTTTTAAGAGTAGTCAAAAATTAACCTTGTCTCCATTTCTGTCCACTTGACAGCCAGCCTTTTTATGCAGTGTCAGCCACACACTGAGGCACAGTGAGAAGGGTGGAGTAAACACCAGAGCTGGCTGTATGGATGCTGGGTGTATTTGTTTCCTAGGGCTATCGTGACAAACTACCATAAACACGGTGGCTTAGAAGAAGAGAAATTTACTTTCTCAGTCTTGGAAGCTCACATATTTCACAGTTCATGAAATGTACTGGCAATCCAAAATCCAGATACTGGGACTGGTAGGGTTTATTACTTCTGGACACTCTAAGGGGAATTCATTCCATGCCTCTCTTCTAGCTTCCAGCAGCTGCCAGCAATCTTTGGTGTTTCTTGGCTGATATGCATCACTCCTCTACCTTTGTGCCTCTACCGTCCTATCCAATCCCCCATGTCTCAGCAATCCTGGTTTCTTATAAGGACACTCTCATTGATTTAAGGACCTACCCTAATCCAGGATGATCTTATCCTGATAACTTACCTTAATCACATCTGTAAAGACCTGACTTTCAAATAAGGTCACATTCTGAAGTTCTGACTGTTAGGGGTTTACCGTCCCTCAAAAGATATACTGAGTACTAACCGCCAGCATAGCAGAATCAGACCTTATTTGCAAACAGGGTTATTGCAGATGTAATCAGTTAAATAAGGCCACGGCAGAGTAGGGTGGGCTTTTCATCCAGTATGACTGGTGTCTTCGTAAGAAGTAACCCAGAGACATAGGCAGAATGCCATGAGGTGTTGAAGGCAGAGAACAGAGTGATGTCTTCACAAGCCAAGGAACACAACAGACTGCTGTGAAACTATTAGAAACTAAGAGAGAAACATGGAAGAACTCTCCCTTACAGGTTTCAAAGAGAGCACGTCTCTGCCAACACCTTGAGGCCTTCAAGCCTCCAAAACTCTGTTAGACTATGTATCTGTTGTTTAAAGACACGCAGTTTGTAGGTTTTTTTCTTTTTGTTTTTATGGCAACCCTAGGAAACTAATAGAGGAGTGAACATGAATTTGAGGGGGGAATTATTCAACCCAAAACATCTTGCCATTAAGGCCTTTTTCAACACAGGCAATGGCAAAATGGATACGGTCACCATCAAGAACCTCATTGCTTTAGAGAACAGTGGAGCTAAAAGGCAATAATGTTTGCCCCGTGTTCATGATGGGAATGGCAAATTTAAAACTATGATGAGTCCCTTCGGGCTGTCAGTGATATTGCTTAACACCACTTAACACCACTAATTCTTTCCCTCAACTTCTCTACCCAGACGACTCATGGCATCATTCTGGACTTGCAACCACAGGCCACACACTATCACTGCTACTCAGAAGACCATGGCTAGCCTCTCCAGCAAACTACAGCATAATGGTTGTGCTGATACCAAAATGTCATGCCAGTATTCACTAGCACTGGAAAGGCTTTGGGTAAGGTCATTCTGAGCTGCAGGGGAAGCTCTTTGACATGGTATTCTATACTCTCAACTCCCAACATGACGATCCAAGATCTCACCTGCCATCTGTACAAAGCTAACAAACATGACTACATCAAGAAGGTGGGGTAGGCAAGGGTCAAATGAACTCTGAAACTGAACTCTGAAAAAGTGTCCAGTGCTATACTAGGATTAGCCTGATTAGTAAGACTTCCACTGTTAACAGCATCTAATTTTGATGCTGAGGCTGCCAAGTTGCCATTCCCTTAACCACCACAATATCAAGCTCATTTTCTAATGTGACAACAGATTTGGCTAAGGTCCCTGATGGTGAATCTCAGAACCCACATGGAATCAATGTGTTAAGAGGCCTGGACCTTATCCCCTGCAACAGCACAAGAGAAAGAATTCAGCTGCTGGGAAGTCTGTGCCCAACTATACTCCTCAACACTGACTATCTCTCATTGTCAGTTTCTAACCACTAAAGAAAGTTTAGAAAGCTCTGCTTCATCATATATTATCATTATCCATGACAAAATCCTCACTGTATCCAACAAAAGGGTAAGAATGGTAGGGGATTGACTTTAATAATTGCTGAGCTACAGCTGAGATTCTAATAGGGTGGTTAAGTATTACAAATGTATGACTTAATAACATTAACTCTCGAAAGCTCTAGTGCATTTCTTACCTGTATATTCAGAAAATGGTTTATGTATCACCCCTAGTACAGGTTTACCATTCACAGCCACACATACCATAGTAGTGACATACTTCCGAAGATCCTCTGTGAAGAAAAACAAAAAAAAACAGTAACAAAAATTATTAAAATAATTCAAATTTTTAGTTTTTTGAAAATCAACTCAAATACTTAATTAGTCTCTGTACAAGGGATGTCCTCACTAAATATCATCACTATTATATGATCAGGCCAATTTTGGTTTAGGAAACATTTTTATTAAAAAAATCCCCTCAGGGCACCTGGGTGGCTCAGTGGGTTAAGCCTCTGCCTTCAGCTCAGGTCATGATCTCAGGGTCCTGGGATCGAGCCCCACATCAGGCTCTCTGATCGGTAGGGAGCCTGCTTCCCCCTCCCTCTCTGCCTGCCTCTCTGCCTACTTGTGATCTCTCTCTCTCTCTGTGTCAAATAAATAAATAAAATCTTAAAAAAAAAATCCCCTCAATATTCCCCATTTCCATTACCTATTTCTACAAAGTATTTTCTAATATCAGTTACTATTAAGACACCTTGTATATCTTCCTCCTGTTCTCTAAAAAGCTACCTACTGAGTGTCTAATATGGTCAAGTTCAGTGCCTAACAACTAGAATACAAAGATGAAAAAGCAGAAGGCCCCACACTCAGAACTTACCATCTAGAAGGAGGGCACATAGATAAGCAATTAACTTTACCATATACACCAACAGAACAGAGAAAAAATAGGAACTGGATATCTCCAGGTGAGAAACAAGGCATGAGAGGCGCTATAGAAATGAAATCTAAGCTAGGACTAGGTGAAAAAGAAGAAAGAAAGAAAGAAAGAAAGAAAGAAAGAAAGAAAGAAAGAAAG